AGGCTATGTGTATAAGGTGCATACGAAATCTGAAAGATATCTCATTGCCTATATGCAAATATTCCAAAACCTGAAAAATTCTGAAATCCAAAACACTTCTGGTCCTAAGCGTTTTGGATAAAGGAGACTCAACCTATATTTACAACATCACAAAAATGCTGATTTTTTTAATATATATATATATATATATATATATATATATATATATATAGTTCTAATGGGGATTAATATTTCAAAAATACCTTTAAAATACTTTAAAAATACTTTAAAATTCTTTTAAATAGTTTAAAATAGTTTGAAGAATCTCAAGATGTGGAACAAAGGCTAGAATTTACTTGGTGACACATGTTAGGTTATGCCTTTGTATATTTTTGGGGATGTTGCAAAAACCAACACCATTAGGTGCCTCAATGCCTGCATTCACAATAGTGGCTTGAGGAAAATTCACAGGTTCAGCTCTATCCCTTTGGCCTCCACTCACCTATGTGCATGTGCCCAGGTACATTGTGGCTACCCCCATGCATCTGGGGAAGAAGGAGGAGCATTATAGTGCGGACACCTTAGGCAAAAGATGTTGCACAAGAAGGTCCATGTGCCCTGTTGTGTACATCCTACTCCGAGCTGTTTCAAACATTCTTGCATGTTACTCCAAAATGCCACCATGGTGTAGTACATCTGTAGATTGCTGTCCCACAGTGACTTTCTTTAGCATGACAGCTGAGAGAAGTAATTATTATTTTTCTCACTTGCAGAAATATACATCCTACATCTGTAGAATCCCAGGTCACTTCACAGTAATGTGGCTTTCAAGACAAGTTGCACAAACTGTACATATTTGGGCAAGTTGCACAAACAAACATGTTTCTGGGCATCTGATCCAGCTCCTTGACCCGTATTCTAAAGGGCTGTAACCCCCCTCCCTAACTGCCTGTTCAGAGGTGACATATGCTGGAGCCCATAGGGAAGCATACCTGGGCTCCAAAGACCCACAACACTCCCTTACTGGTGCCGTTTTAATGGACCTGGAATTTCATCACTTTTGATTGCCCCGTAATGTAAAAAGAAGGTTATTCATGGGTATCACAACTTGTAAGAGCCTAATTTGGCTTCAGTGTGTATGGGTTTTTTTAAACTGAAAAAATTGTATTTTGTGGGAAATAGTTTTCTAATAACCCTCCAGGATGTTGGAGGTGTGTTCGGTAGGGATGCAGGGAACCCTCCCAAGTGGTATGCCATCCACTGACCCCACAATGCCATCCTTGCCCTGGACACTGGAATCTTCAGCTGAGAATTTTAAATGCCTTTCCCTAAACTACAAACCCCAGGATTCCTTAGGACAGAACCATGAGAGTTAAAGTGGAATAATACCACTATAATCCAGTAGTGTGAATGAGCTGTGGGTGAGCCTCTCTGGGAAAGGAACTCCCTACACAGTGTGCCATCCTTGCAAAGTCCATTTTTCTTGTGACCAAATTAAATATTAATTTAGTATGAGGATGGTGCTAGGTGCTGTACAGAATGGAGTGTATGTGTGTGAAACAGGACTCATCCCTCCATTAGGAGAGTCCGATAAACCTATTTCCACTTAGTAGGTGGAAAATTCCACTCAGATTACCATGATGTTAGAATGGCAAAATCTATTTATGTGCATGCGTGGGTGGGTGGGGGGCTATAAACCTGGCTATTAATTTTTTCCTTGTCTCACACACAATGCTAGAAAATGATCCATGGAAAATTTACCTATGATTAAAATGATCTACCACCTCACTTTCAGATTTGGAGGCTTTCTCTGGAGGCAACTAGGTTAAGTGTTGATTCACCCATGTCATGTATACCGCCAAGTCTCTCAGTAGTTGACTATACATTCATGACTAAAATTTTCTAATAATTTGTTTCTTTTAATCATATATGAAGCTTTGCAATTTTAGCACATTTCATTTGTCTCCACAATTTTTAACATTTGTTGTGGAAGGGAACTTAACTCACCTATTATTCAAAGAAAAGGATAAAAAGGAACATCGGATGAACTGATATTTGTATTGATTTAAAGTTCATCATTGACAGGTCTATGTGTTTTGTTGAATCCAGACTGTGCATCCCTATAGACAGTGGCCCAGCAGTAAATGATATTGAACCAAATGGGTTTTAATTCTGGGGAGACCTATTCAGGATTCCAGCATTAGATGCACTTCAGTACCATTGAAATCAATGGGACAAATTTAGTTGTAAATTCATTCTCACTAATTTTATTTGGAACTAAATGCTTAGTCTAGATCCAACTTTTTAAAGCCCCCTCAACTGCAGTTCCAAGAGTGAAGAAAGAATTCGAAATTGAAATAGTCACATGTCAAAATGTGTGAAAAAACTTCTTCCAACTCTTTGACACAAGTAGTTATGCAGACACTGTAGTGGCCTTTCTTGCACCCTGTAAAACAGATCAATGTGAGAAAACTTTATTCCCTCACACATAATGGCATGAGTTGAGTTAGATTCTATAGACAGAATATTCTTATCATGTTGCACGTTATGTACCTTTACATATACTTGGCTACTTAGTAGTACTTGGCTACTAACAAACCCTATTAGCAAATTGCAAAGATGTATAAAAGGACACCAGCAAGAATGTCCCAGTGTCAATCAGCGCTCCCCAGCCAGTATCCAGATACACAATGGGACCGATGTACAACTGGATTGATGCTCAATCTGTCTCATTGTATATCGGTCCCAAAGCTTATCAGTCACTTTGCCGGATCCCCTACATAGTAATGTACACATGTTACAGAACTGCCCAGTTTTAATTCCTGCAAATGAAAGTCCTCTTATTTAGATGTAAATCTTCCAACAGGGTTCCAGCCTGTGATTTTAGAGTTGATCCTTCTTTAACTTTTTAAAATTGATTTTAATGTTTTAATTTTTTAAATTGATTGCTGATGAGTTGTGGAAGATTGCTAACAATTTAGATTGCACTCTGATTGGCATATACATAGGCTGTCTCATTTACAACACAAAGTAAAGTGTCTGTTGCAAAAGGTAAAATTTAGTCCCCTGGGTAGGAGATTTGACACATCCACATGTGTCCCACTCCACTTGTTCTTTTGCACAAAACCAGCCATGGGAAAGTTAGGAGAATAGTGTGAACAGGCCAGTTATCTGGTTGTTGTTGTTGTTGCTGCTGCTGCTGCTGCTGTGTGCACCCTCAAGTCCTTTCTGACATGTTCCCCACCTCACCAAAAAGCAACAGAAAAGTAAGGAGTAACACAAAGTGTGAGAATCACTGTGGTATAGTGGTTTGAGTGTTGGACTACGACTCTGGAAACCAGGGTCTAATCCTTGCTCAGCCATGGAAACCCACTGGGTGACCTTGGGCAAGTCACACTCTCTCTTAGCCTCAGAGAAAGGCAAAGGCAAACGAATCTTGCCAAGAAAACCCTGTGATAGGTTTGCCTTAGGGTTGCCATAAGTTGGAAATGACCTGAAGGCACACAACAACATAAAATGCTCCTAATCTTTTTGTAACACTAATGATAACAAATTAATGGGATTGTTAATGTGTTATATAATGAGTTACATTTGTTTTTACAAGATTTTAAAAGTAACCTTCCAGGATCCAACATGGTGTAGTGGTTTGAGCATTGCACTATGACTCTGGAGACCAGGGTTT